CAAAGATGTATCATGATTTGAAACAGAATTTCTAGTGGCTGGGAATGAATAGGTGTATTGCAGATTTTGTGGCTAAATGTTTACACTGCCAACAAATTAAAGTTGAACATCAACGACCCGCTAGATTACTTCAGCCGCTCCCAATACCGGAATGGAAGTGGGAACATATTACGATGGACTTCATTGTTGGACTACCTTGCTCTTCTCGAGGTATGGATTCTATCTGGGTCATTGTTGATCGTTTAACTAAGTCTGCTCATTTTCTGCCTGTCAAATCTTTGTATAATGCGGATAAGTTGGCTAAATTGTATGTCAATGAGATTGTGAAATCACATGGAGTTCCAGTATCCATAGTGTCTGACAGAGACCCCAAGCTTACTTCGAGATTCTGGCAGAGTTTGCAACAGGCCTTGGGGACTGAATTGAGATTAAGCAATGCTTATCACCCACAGACAGATGGCCAATCAGAACGGACCATTCAAACATTGGAGGACTTGTTACGGATGTGTGTGTTAGACTTTCAAGGCAATTGAGAGGCTTACCTTGCTTTGGCCGAATATGTGTATAATAATAACTACCATTCAAGTATTGGTATGGCCCCATAAGAAGCTTTGTATGGTAGAAAATGCAATTCTTCAGTTTGTTGGGTCGAAGTAGGTGATCAACCCTTGTTGGGGCCAGAACTTGAGCAAGAGACGACTGAAAATGTGAAATTGATTCGGCAAAGACTAAAAACTGTACAAAGCCGCCAGAAAAGCTATGCCGATGTCCGAAGAAGAGATAGAGAATATGGAGTTGGCGATCATGTGTTCATTAAAGTAACTCCAATGAAAGGTCAGACGCGATTTGGGGTGAAAGGCAAGTTAGCATCAAGATATGTTGGGCCATATGAAATTCTCGAGAAGATCAATTCGATAACATATCGAGTAGCCTTACCTCCGGTGATGGAAAACATGCATAACGTTTTTCATGTCTCAATGCTTCGAGATTATTTAAGAGATCCGCTCTATGTGATAGAACCAACTCATGTGCTTCTGAAAGATGATTATACGTACGAAGAGAGGCCAATACAAATCGTTAACCGCCGAATCAAGAGATTAAGAAACAAAGAAATTCCATTGGTAAAAGTCGATTAGTAGAATCATGGATGAACCTATGCAACTTGGGAGATAGGGGAAGATATGATGAAAAGATACACTAAACTGTTTCCTTTGGACACGGTATTCTTCCAAAATGAAGGTAATTCGAGTTTGGAAGACCAAACTTTTTAAGAGGGAAAGATTGTAACAATCCTGACCCATGTTGATCCATGATTTAATATGCCTAATAAGTTATTGAGATCAAATTCTAAATTAATTGTATGAGCGTTGCATTAATTGTACTTTTATCTGTCTCTTGTACAAATATATGTTTCCGTTTCCATTTCAGTTTGCAAATTGAAGGCCTTATCAGCATTCGATCATGAAATTGGCTTGGTTTATGTGTCATTTGGAATTTTTAGAACATTATGGTAGATTCAATTGAAATTCAAATCGAAACGATTAAATTAAATAAATAATGTCAATTGATTAGCTATTAATGAAGTCTTCCTAGTGGAGCCTATATAAAGCCACTTTGACTTCCTTAATACATTTTGCACTCTCATTCTATACTCCTTATAGCTCAAAACCTAAGAGAGGGAGAGAAAAGAGAAGACTTGAGCTCAACTAAGGTGATTTCTAGAGAATTGGGAGGAATTGACTTGAACTTAGCTACAATTTGAGTAATTGGGAAGAATCACTCAAGAACTCAAAGAAGTGAGACTTGTAGGTAAGGAATTCAACCCTTGAATTATGTAATTAACTCATTTAAGTTGTGAATTCATAGGAAAATGAAAGATTAGTGCATGAAATGAACTAAGGAAGTGAGAAAGAAGAAGAGTAGAGCTTGCATGCGCATTTTATGGTAATTTTTAAAGTTGATCTCAAGTAAATTCTCTATGCATGTCATGTTCTCAACTTAATTATGAAACGTCATCATGTTTTCCATCAATTTGCCTCAATTGATCATGTTTTGGAAGCTTTGAAGTCAATAAAGTGCTTGCATGTAAGTCCATGTGTTGTTTTATAAGTTTCAACTTTGATTTTACCCAATTGATTTACTCTTGAGCCATGATTTTGTGAAATGATCTTTAATTCTTAATGTTTTCAAAGTTTAAACTTGTTTTCTCAAGTTTTGGGGCCAAGAGTTGTGTTTTGATGAGTTAGATTCGAGTTTTGAGCTTGGGAGTGCAATCTGGAAATTCCAAATTTTGCACTTCCGCTCGAGTGAAAGAATCTACGCTCAAGCGACCACTCTGAGTGCGAGTATTTCCGCTCGAGCGACCAGAAGTCCGCTCGAGCGTGAAATGCATGCTCCCAGAAGTTCTTATGTTTTGCAGAACGCTCGAGAGACAGAAGTTACACTCGAGCGAGGGAATGTCTCTCACGCTCGAGCGAGCGTTGAGCGAAAAAATCAAGCAACCAGCACTTTTGCAAAAGTTTACAGACTGCCCGAGCGATAGATTTTGTGCTCGAGCGACCACTCATATTTTGCATGTCCGCTCGAGTGTAGGAAGTTATGCTCGAGCGAGGACCCTATTTTCAGCAATTTTTGTTAAGTGTTTTCAAGTGCATTTTTTTGCATCCTCTTTCTATCCTAGGCATTCATATGCCAAGTTTAAGACACCATAATGAGGATAAAGAAGTAGAAACACACAAAGACAAGAAAGAACTAAGTTAATGATTACGGGTGTGTAATTCAGCACGTATTCGTTCTGTATCTGTGTAGGTCACGCGCCACGAAATATCTAAATTGCCTACTCTGTACGTTTACTTGGAGCCCTCTGTTATCTGTGAGTAATAACTTAGTGAAACTATGTTCAAGTTAAATTATTTTCTATATATGGAATAAGATCTGTTCTATGAAATGTCCGTTTATACTATGAATGATTGTCCAACTCTGACAAATGGTTGTGGTATTTATGTCATGATTCAAGTATGCTATCTATACCCAGACCGGAAGTTCCTTATAGAACTGACAAGTTATCTGTTCCCAATCCGGAGGTTCCTTTATGGAACTGACAAGTTATCCATACCCGGCCGAAGGTTCCTTTATAGAACTGACAAGTATGACCTTTGATGCTTGTATTTGATTTGTAGCGCTAACGGATGAACTATGTATGATCAAGCATGAATTCTGAATTCTGTATATGAATTGAATAAGAATACGAATATGAATCTATTCTATGTACAAGCTTAGTCATGGGACATCATTCATTTAACCCCTTCACTCTGTTATTATTCACTGGGCTCCCGCTCACTATTTATATTATGTATGTAGATGATCAGGCACATGATCAGGCTCAAAGTTAAGGACTTGGCGTCTCAGTTTTTGTCAGCCAACCTTTATGCGTGCTGAGAAGGTTCCGGACTAAGTCAAGTCTAGTAGCTGTGTTATTATGAATGCACAAGACTTGGTTCCTTTTGCTCCATGAACAAGTTTTTCTGTTTTTATGTACTTAAAGTGACGTGTAAATACTGTATCTTTTGACGTCACTCGTATGTTTATAAAAGTTTAAGATTATCTGTCCCATGCAGGTCTTCACAGCTCGATAGACTATGTATATTTTATGTATTTACTTCCGCAGCCCCTAATTATACATTATTATGTTAAGAGGCCTTTGATAATCCAGGGATTACTGGCCGGTTACGACGCCAAATCTATAGGGGCAGGTTTAAGTCGTGACAATATTGCTTACAATCTTTACTAACTATTCAAAATAGAATCCATTACTTAACGAAGGAAGGTTTTAAAAGACGGTGGCTACCGTATTGGTAATAGTAGCATTGACGCAATTGCAGAGTGTCACAGCCATAGTGTAACGGTGCCGGAGCCGTGAATTTTTAATTTTTTGCACGACTTAGGAAAACATACCGATACGCATGCTTTTATTTCAGAATCATATTTAGTAAGGTTCAAAATAATTTTTTGGTGTGTTTTGTTTAGTTTCATGATCCAATATAAGTACTAATTTTTATATCAATTTTAAGTCGTCATTAAGATTTTTCCTATTGTTGAATGTATTTAGTTTTCTTTACTTTACTAATTATATTTATGGATAACTTCCAACTTGTTAAGGACAAAAATATGAAGTATGCTTAATATTAAAAATGATAATTTCATAAACATAAGTTTATAATACAAAATATCAACATACTAATGTAAAGGTACATAACATGATAACCAAATTAAGTGAGAGTAATGACAGCTTGTCAATGAAAAAATAATAATGAAAGTTTGAGTGAGAGAGAGAGAGAGAGAGAGAGAGAGAGAGAACTAAGCTCATTTACTCTTGATAACTCAAGTCTTGTAGAACTTGAAGATTGGACATTGGAAACATGTAGATCTAAGATTTTTGCATAAGTCCTATTTGTGTGTGTACGAGTGTGTGGGAGGAAGAGATTTTAACAATGAGAAAAATGGCCTTGTATAACAAATTTAATAAAAAAAAAATAGAAGTTCAACAGTGCTGTAACGGCCGTAACAGCCTTTACGTAATGGTGGCGGCCATCACTACTATGAATTTTTGTCGCACCGCTATAGCAGCCGTAACATGTAGCGATAACCATTGAAACCGTTACGTAACAGCTTCACATAATTGTTGCAGCCGCTTTTTAAAACCATTTGGAACATTATCAACTAAATTGATATGTTAGCATTGAGACAGTTGATATTTTTACATTATACCTTTTGTTATATAATCTCAAACATTACACTTGGAAGCCATCAAGGACTACAAATTCTAATCAAGGATATCATTTTGTGAAATTCCTTGCCTATGAACATACAAGAATGTATAACTATCTCTGCTAATCTATAATTGGGGAAGTGGAATTGCAAGCATGGTAAATCAATAGATAATGAATAGCAGAAACATGAAAATACAATGATGCGAAGAAAAGGTGTATGATTAAGCAAACCTCTTTCTCAGTTACATGGTTTGTTGGATTGAACACTTTCCCAGTGCTTGACGGCCCTTTGGTCAGATCACCAAATTCATTTATCGACCAACCATGTTTTTCAGGAGACAAACCACTAAAGCTAGCCTCAATCCTAGCCAATTCCATATTCACTTGAGCCAAACGAACCACACCAAAAATATTTGGACCTTTGAACTCGGCCACAGCAGCAGAGACTAAGAAATCTGCACAGAGAGAGAGAGAGAGCAAAGGTAATCATTACCATATTTGTAGTTATTGATGCATCTAAAACTAAATGTTCTGAAAGCCAAAAGTTAATCAGCTATTTCCTGCAAGTAAAACCTAGAATTCTAAAACTAAGACTCAAAATTAGATCCACACAAATATGTTTGCTTGCACACACACACACACACACACGCGCGCGTAACTGTCCTATTGATATGTAAAGATACAAACGAATGAAATAATCATGGCACAAATTCAATATGAAGTACTATATTACTGTAGCATAATAACATCATAAATATAAACCACAGTACTTCGTAACTATGTTCAGTCACACAGTCATATATCTAAATATGCAGGCCATTTGTCAATCAGAAGAAAATACCTTCATTGTTTTCATGTATCCTGTTCATTTAAGATGTCATGTGGAGCCATCTGCCCTACAATATTATTCCGGATAAGTAGTTGACTTTCTTGTTGACCAAAGGAAAGCACTACAATGAAAAAATAAAAGTACATGGTCTATTTTCATTTTAGTACTTCTACTGGAAAAAGAATTGGATAAATTGCTCTAATGGAAGTTTGCATGCTAAACTTTTTTTAATTCCATTTCTTGAAAGGTGAAAACAGTCTTCAAGAAAAATAAGCTAGACAAATTTTCAACCTTCATATTTGTTTCTTATGACTATGAAGGCTCTAAGAGCCAAGGCATAGAATTTTAACTAATATATCACAAGTCTTCAGAACTTCATTTATTTTCCCTGTTTAATTGTATATCATACGCATTGGTCACATAATTTACCATAACAATGGATATGTTTCCTCCTGTTAACACAAGGGGGAGGGGGGTTCATCTGTTAGACATATGTGCACAATATAACAACCATGTCTTGTATGAAAATAGCATGCATTTGACTCACACATCTTATATGTGTGTGTGTGTGTGTGATCATCCGTCCTTTCTTTCCTTTTACCCCCTCGTTTCTTAAAGTATAAATCTGCTTCATGTTTTATGCAACTGTATTGTCACAAAGAGAAACTGTATACCAAAAGGGTCAGAAATTTATCGTGGCCATGAAATCCAATCTTTAACATCCCATAAGAGAGACTCTTTCCAAGATTACCCTACGACAATGTTCACATGGATTTGAAACAGGATTCTCACCATCTTTTTTAGTAAGAATGAATCATTAGAACCTATGTTTTTTGTTTTTCCTTGGTAAGTGAATGGATAATCTATATCATAAATGAACCTAACACCTACATGTCCAATTAAATAAGTAATGAAAAACTAACAACATCAGAAGCAATAAATCATTCAACTCAAGAAAGACTGACTGCTGCACAAAAATATTAGTCCTAACCAGAAAAAAGTAAAAAAAGGAACCAACCTTCAGGAACCCCTTGGCCAATTAATCGTGCTTTTCGACCCGTCTGCTCCAAAGCTTCAGTCATGACCTTCACAGGTGAAGACCCAAGAATTCTAACTACCTGATTGCTCAAATCAACTTCAACATTCCTAACTCCTAAAGTAATTCCCAAGAAAACAAAAAAATTAGCACACACTAAAAAAAAAAAAAAAAAAAAAAAAAAAAAAAAAAAAAACTAGGCATCAGAAACAGTAGAATCAAAATCCCCCTTCAAATTACTCACCATCAACAGTCTGTAACTTATTCTTGACAGCATTAACACAACCATCACACTTCATATCCACCATATACTCTGTCTGCACCAAATCAAAAACCAAAATCTCAAAACACCACCATAATTCACCTGATTGACCTAGCTATAATATTCTTCCCAAAATCAGCTCAAACAAACAAAACCTCAATCAATCGAACTTGCAAATCATAAGAGAATATTTGAACTCACCAGCAATTCCGGCAACGCTGAACCGTTCTGCAAAACAAAGCAAGCAACTTTATTAGTCCAGAGTGAAATAGGAAAATTCATAGAGAGAGAGAGACAGAGAGAGAGAAGTGATGATACGAACATGAGAGGAGAGCTGATGATCTGAGGTGGGAGCGTCCATGTGTAGAGCGGAGGGAGGAGAAGCGAAGGTCTTGACAAGGCCCAAGCGATCTGGTCTGAGGATTGAATTACAGTAAAGAGATGAGAAAGTCAGGGATTTGGAGATGTGACACAAAGGTGAAGAAGAAGAAGAGGAAGATGGAGAGAAGGAAGCTGGAAGAGCTGTCGCTGCAACGGCAATTGTGGTCGCAGCTGCCACTGACATGAGAAATGCCATTTTAACTCCCGACTTCTCTCCCTTCTTCTAGATAATCTATTTTTTTTTTTTAATAATGTTTGAGAGGCCCAATTTGTATTGCTCAAATGGCTCAAAACTGTCAAAATGATGTCGTTTTGGCATATTTTGTGCTCAAAACGACGTCGTTTTGGCAATTTTGAGCCATTTGAATCACAAAAATTGTGGCCCTCTACCATTGCCCTTTTTTCTTTCCCCACACTGCTGTGTAGTTCAATTTAATATTGACCCGAATGGTTCAAAATTTATTTTGTCGGTTATTTGGGATTGAGGAAGCTGGAAGAGCTGTTGCTGCAACGGCAATTGTGGTCGCAGCTGCCACTGACATGAGAAATGCCATTTTAACTCCCGACTTCTCTCCCTTCTTCTAGATAATCTATTTTTTTTTTTTAATAATGTTTGAGAGGCCCAATTTGTATTGCTCAAATGGCTCAAAACTGTCAAAATGATGTCGTTTTGGCATATTTTGTGCTCAAAACGACGTCGTTTTGACAGTTTTGAGTCATTTGAACCACAAAAATTGTGGCCCTCTACCATTGCCCTTTTTTCTTTCCCCACACTGCTATGTAGTTCAATTTAATATTGACCCGAATGGCTCAAAATTTATTTTGTCGGTTATTTGGGATTGTTTGGAATGTCTTAAATAAGTATATTTTTTTTGTCTTTTTAGATTAAAAAATTGAGGTTGAAAATATGAATGTTTGGATTAACTTTTTGACTTTTTATGAAAATATATATATTAAAAAATTGTATAAATTAATGTGTAGGGGAAAATTAGTATTGGGAGTTGTGCAGCCGTAATTGTTGACTTTTGATAAATAATGATAACTTTTTAACTTTTTGAATAACTTTTTGACTTTTTGACTTTTTTTAGACTTCCCAAACTTGGCCTTGGTCAGTTGTTCGGGAAAAATATTGACAGGTGTGGTCAATAAAGTGACAATTGTGATAGATAAGTATTTCACTCGGTCGTTTGAGTGATCGTTTGACTGGTCATCCGGCCGATTGTTCAATAAACACTCATTCAGGCCATTTGAACCCCTTCATTTTCGAGTTACCGGACATTTTATTTTTATTTTTTTAAGGTCTTGCTTCATATTTTCCATTTTGGGAAAATTATATAATAAAAAAAAATCTTATAGTAAAATTTAACTTTGTGATCAAATAAATTTTTTATTTTTAATTTTCTTAATTTAAATTTATTTTTTTAAATTTATTTTTAATTTAAACAATTAATTTGTTTTTGTTAAGTAAAATCGACAAAAAATATTATTTTAATTATTAAACTCAATTTAAATGTATATAAAATGTTTTTTTTTTTTTTGTCAATTTTACTAAGTTTGATTATGGTGTAAAGTGAGACAAATGTACACTTTTTTCTTTTTTCCTGAATTTGTTTAGTATGAAAATGGTAGAATTTATAAGAAAGTTAATTTCTTTGTATAACTAATGATAGAATGTAACTAAACTTTTAGTTTCTTGAAAAAAAAATACACAAAAATAAATAAAAATTTAAATTTGTTATAAAGTAATTACTTATAATTAGAATTCTTATTTTCCTACAAAATTATCATAATCAATTACATATAGAAAAATATATTTTCTTTTCTTTCACTTCGCTTTTTACTATTTTTATTTTTTTATCTTTTATTTCTTTTAAATCAAACGGAGTCATAGATAGAAAATAAAATAAAATTTTAAAATTTAAATTGATAGATTATAAATTGAGAATTTATTTTATTATAGGGTTAAACCTTAGGTTTTGTTTATAATTTTTTATTTATTTTTTATTTTTTAGGTGGGTGGCTTGGTAAACTGTTGCATCACTAATGTTTATTGGGTTGTAAGAGTGGAATCAATATTGGCGACTAATAGTTTAGTCGCCAAAGGTATAATTTCCAAAAATGGAATTGACTATTGGCGACTAAAATCTTAGTCGCAGAAGACCTGTGTATTGCCGACTAAATGTTTTTTAGTCACCAAAGGTATTGCCGACTGTCTGTTCACGACAAACCCGGCGACTAAAAGATTTTGTCGGGAAAAGTGGAAATTTGACATTTGGCTACTAAAAAGGGACTTTTGGCGACTAAAAATTTAGTCGCCAAAGGTGTATTTTCTTGTAGTGTAAACTGTTGCATCACTAATGTTTATTGGGTTGTAAGAGTGGAATCAATAAAGTCCACATCTAGCCCATTACAAGAGTCTGGATCATCTATTGCCCTTCCCTGCGGCCCTTCTTGCGGAGCTCCAAAACGACTTCGTTTTGGATTTTTTTTTTCTATTCTTATTTTTCTTTTCAACCCCTTTTCATTTTTGAACCCTAGCCCCTCTAAGAGAGATGAATAGAGAGGCGACGAACGGAAAGAGAGGCGACGAATGGAGAGGGATGCATGGGCGGCGTGGTTTCCCATCAAGGTGACGGAGGTAAGATGAGGCAAGGAGAGGTGGCGGTGAGGCGAGGAGAGGCGGCGAGAAATGAACAAAGAGGGCGAGGCGGCCGACTGACATGACTTCTTCAATGAATTCATATTCGATGCCTTTCATTTTCAGAGCAATCTTAACTCTGCAAACAAAAGGGCTTTCCCAAACACCAAACAACTTCACTTGTTCTGCCATTTCAACACTTGTTATTTAGAGCTTTTACTCTCAAGAGTGTGTTTGTATGTGTTTTTGAAGTTGATTATCTGTCTAGATTTGATGAGTTCTTATAAAGGAACTTTGCTATTAGTTACTTAGCCAGCAAGATTATATGTCTATTTAAAGAAGAGAAGAGAAAGAGGGGAAAAAGAAAACACAAAAGAAGAGAGAGAGGAGAAGAAAAACCTGTTCAGGATCTATTATGTTCTTTCTTATTATAAAATACTGGGAAAATGGGATAGTTACAAACTCTCATTTTTTGTTTTTCATGTCCATTTACTATATTGATCAAATATGTTGTTGGTGATTGGAAACCTCAGTAGTCTAAGCAGAGTATATAAAAATATGAAAAAATGGGAAAAAGTCAATGAATAGGAATTTCTTTATGATTTCCGTTGCATTCCTATAATTTCTTTATCAATTTCTTCATGATTTCTGGATTGAGATGGTGGCTCGTCGTTGGTGGCGAGATCGAGAGAGAGAGAGAGAGAGAGAGAAGGGGACTCGGCTATGGGTGAGTTGGTAGTTTTAGAGAGAAAAAAGAAGAGCCAGAAAAAGAAGAAGATGAAAGAGAAGGAAGGTTCTGTTCTGGTGCTCTATTTATTTTTATTTTTTTGAAATTTTGCCTCAAAATGACGTCATTTTGGGGGCACTGCAGGAAGGGCCGCAGGGAAGGGCGACAAATGATCCGGACTCCCATTACAAGCCCTATGCATTCCTTTTTTTTTCTTTTTAAAAAAAAAACAAATTTAAAATTGAAGGAGTACAAATATTTTGTGGAGGGTGAAAATCGCCCAAGAAAAGTATAAGCATAAATAAGTCCGACCAACTCAAACGAACCAAGTCCAAAATTAGGAGGATGACCAACTTGATCGGGCATATAAAATATAATCAAACGCGAATCACAAACTAACTACTGACAAAAGGTTGATCATCAAATCAAAAGAAATCATATAACTAACCATGATTGCAAGTTGGTCACTACCAAAGTGATCCTTGTCCAAAAGTTGATCATTCTATCAAAAGACATCTGATGGCCAACCACGATTATAAGTTGACCACTACTAAAATGACCTCTGATAAAAGGTTGATCGTCCGATTAAGAAAGATCCAACAACTAACATGTCAAGGGACACAAAAAAACTATCACACATACACATTTACATAAGGGGAACTTATCAAACCAGTGGGTTTTACAAAACATAATTACAAATCAATAAAAAAAACTTTATAAATATTAATAATTAAAATTTTAAAATTTTCATGTTATTGTAATAAGTTTTTGCCACTATCACTGTAGGGTAATATCCCTTTTACATAATACAACCCTTCTTCTTTTTTTTTTTTCATGGCTAATCTACATACTAAGTTGATCATTAGAGGGTCCTCACCCTTCTTCTTTTTTTTTTTTCATGGCTAATCTACATACTAAGTTGATCATTAGAGGGTCCTCTCGACCTACCAAGGTCTGGGTGATCTCTAACCTTGGGTTTCTTTTGCAGGTGCAAAATAAGACGCATTGTCTCGCTAATGTCCTGTGGAGACAAATTCATAATCCATAATTGGACATATTAAGAAAAACTGTTGGGGTCATTTTCCAAGTATAGATTTTAGTTAAAAAAAACAAAAAATTACTTAAAAAAAAAAAATCTTTCACACTACTTTTTGCATATTTTTAAAAAATAAAAACTCCAAAAATATTTTCAAATATGTTGATTTTTTATAGGGCAAATTATATATACCTTCCTTGAGATTTGGCTAAATTACAGATACCCCCCTGAGGTTTCAAAAATTACATCCTGCCCCCTAAGGTTTGTATTTTCATAACAATTTGTCCCCTGAGGTTTAAATTTCATAACAAATCACCCCCTAATTTGTTATGCAAATATAGCATTCAGGGGGAAATTTGTAATTTCTCAAACCTCATGGGGTATTTGTAATTTAGCCAAACCTCGAGCGGGGTATATGTAATTTTCCCTTTTTTATATTTTAGTTAAAAAAATCACTTATTAAACAAGTTCTGAATTGATTAGGTTGCAAGTTGGTTGTTTCATACCCATAAAAGAAAAGCTAACGGTGATATTTGCTTGAAAAAATTATCAAACCAAGGGTGAAGTCTTATACTTACTCCAATGTTTCTACCAAATGCTTTTGTTAAAGTAAAAGAAAATAGGTTGAGTTTACAATATCTATCTTTCTGATGAGATTATTGAGAGAGAGAGAGAGAGAGAATATAAAATTTGTATGTATAAACAAGATACAATGAGCTCTTTTATATAGGAGAGAATACACATGCTAAATACGGAAGGAATCAATCACTGTCAATCACCTATGGAAGGTGAATCAATCAACCAATCTATAAAAGGTGAATCAATCA